TAACTATAGGGTCAGTATTCAGCTTGTGAGTTATAAGGTTGGGGTCTATACCGGGCATCTCTGCCGCGGACCATGCAAAAATATCTAAATTTTGAAGTAAGAGGCTTACCAGTTCGGATCGTAGGGGCTTCTGAAAGGAAGCGCCGATCTGAAGCGTCCAAGCTGGGTCTGCTGCTGAGATCGGGACCGCGACTGTTTCTTCCGTGGGCGCGGCTTGCTCTTCGCTTTGCTCCGTGGGTCACTCCAGTTCGAGGTCGTCGGCCACCTTGGTTTTCCCCTTCAGGGCGAAAACATAGCACTTGCGGGACTCGAGCTGGTCGCCCTGCGCTACTCCCACACCGAAGTCTGTCGGGAACTTCATAGCCAAATGGTAAGTGGAGACCACCGCCCGTAGGACATGGGTGATTGGTCGACCTATTATAGCATTGTAAGGGGAGGGGGTCGCGACCACCAGGAAGTTGTATTCGAATCTGGCCACACAAGGCCATGTGCTAACCTCTACAGGTACCGTTACTTTCCCAAGGGGACGCACTTCTTCTCCACTGAAGCCCACTAAAGGGGTGTCTGTAGGCTTCAGGTCGCTCCTCTGCAATTGAAGCTGGTCGAGCGCAGCTTTGAAAAGAATGTCGGCTGAGCTGCCTGAGTCAACGAGTACACGCCTGACCTCGAAGTCATTGATTCTTAGCTTTATTACGAGCGCGTCATCGTGGGGGTAGTGGACCCCTCGCGCATCGTCTTCTGTGAAGAAAATTGGGTCTCCCGTTTTCGGCCGCTTTGGGGGGTTCTGCTCTTCCCAGGTGGCCTCACGAATTGACGTCCGAGCTGCTGCTGAAGTGCAACCCGCAACGATCGAACCTCCCACTATCATGTGGATGGTCCCCCGAACTGGCCTCTCCTCTAGAGGCTGCCTCTGCGGTTGTTCGGCCGGCCTGCTACTGGACTCGGGAGCATCTTTACCATGCTCCCCTTGCCGACCTGTGCTATTACTATTGTTATTATTATTTTG